TGTGACGGGGTAGAGCCATAACCTCCCCATCGGCCCTGCCCTGAGTGTGAGAGTGGTGGCGCCCCAACCCCCTCATGGGCCCCGCTCTGTGTGCGACAGGGGGCAGTGCCCCAACCCCCAGATTGGCCCTGCTCTGTGAGTGACAGGGGGCAGTGCCCCAACCCCCTGATTGGCCCTGCTCTGTGGGTGATGGGGTGGCGCTGCAACCTCCCCATCGACTCTGCCTTGAGTGTGACAGGGGACAGTGCCCCAACCCCCCAATGAGCCTTACCCTTAGCGTGACTGAGGGTGGTATCACAACCTCCCGATTGCCCTGCTCTGTGCATGACAGGGGGCGGCGCCCCAACTCACCAATCGGCCCTGCTCTGAGCCCGACCAGGGCTGCACCTAGGGATTGGGCCTGCCCTCTGCCACCCGGGAGCAGGCCTAAGCCAGCCGGTCGTTATCTCCCGAGGGGTCCCAGACTGCGAGAGGGCACAGGCCGGGCTGAGGGACCCTCCCTCCCCTGCGAGTGCACAAATTTTTGTGCACTGGGCCTCTCGTCTATGTATATAAAAAGCTAAGTAACTGAGCACATGTTCATCCAATGCTGGTACATATGATGCACACTGGCAATTTAAAATCAAACGTTGACTTGTGCATGTGCAATACATATTAAAATATTTTGTGTTTTAATTATATAGTACTTTATTATATATACTATATTGACATATAATTTTTTGCAGGAACGTAATTACCGCACAAATCTTCTAATTAATTTCCTTTCAATGTGCACGAATCCATGCTCCAGGCCACTAGCTGATACATATTTTGCTACTCATATTTTCCTACTTCTTAGGTTTTATTCCCAAAGTAGAGTGATTTTTTTTCATTTTAATTAGTATAGATAGTTAATACCAATATTTAAAGAAACTGAGTTACTATGTAATACCATCTTTTGGCAATATACACATATCTGTCTAATTTTAGAAAGGTATTAAGTGACATCTCATTGTTGGTTAATTTGCATTTCTCTGATTATTAAATGAATTAGAATATCTCTTCATTTCAGGTATCTGGCATTCAGGTCATAATCTGCCCCTTGGTCTAAAGTCTACCTTTGTCTTTGGTGTTAGATAGGATTCTAGGTGCCTTTTCTTCCTCTCAGAGAGGAAGGCAATTTTTACACCAGCCACTGAAGTATACAGCTCCTCATTGATTTGTAGTATCTCTTTTTTTCTGTGTATTATGCCCTCAGGTACATGGATATGTCTCTGAACCTCTGTTCTGATTTGTTAG